ATTCAGGCTCATCCGAATATGCGCATGATTTGAATTTACAGACGGGGGATGGCGGCGGTGTTCATGAAAGCCCGACTGATACACTGACGGGGGAGGCGGCCGAGATGTCGCCGAGAAGACGCGGAGATCATTTGTTATTTGGACGATCGTAAAAATTTGCATAATAGGTTACGAGACGAGGCCGCCTGTAAATCTCTATTGAGGGGTGACGACGGGCCGAGGGTAAACAGACCTGAGGACAGTCAAGGTAACCGCAACCTCCGTCTGTGGGAGGATGATTGAATTTGCAGGCGAGCAGATAAGGGAATGATTCACCACGCACCATCACAATTGAAGCCTTAAGAGCGAATAGGCCTCGCAGTTCGATTTTAGTCAACGATTTCGGCTAGATGTGAAGAATCCAGGATTGCTTGGTAGCTCTTTTGGTGCAAGTCTTTTTTTTTTCGAAAAGAAAAGTCAATTGAAAAGACCCTGAGCACAATCTCGTGTGAGCCAGGCCAACCTCTCTCCTCCTTCAGAATGTCCGAAATTTCGTTGGTACCAGATGATCGATTAGTCTAACCGAAAATCATAGCCGCGGCCAATTTGGCGCTTCAGAGATTCTGAATAGTAGCATAGCACAGACGAATCTGCTAGAATTTGGTCCGTCATGGGACGAATCTGCTAGAAGGTCGCGTCATGGGTTTTTACTTTAGCTTTTTTGACCTTACCTTCCTCACCTCTTTCCCGTTAGAATGCCAGGATCCTGAGAAATTCAGATTCTGAGAAACTGAAAAGTTATCTGAAGTTTCATTAGGCGTACTAGAGGTTTGTTTCGATAGTTTAATATGAAGGCAGGTTACGGTTTCCCAATTATTCTTTATGGGTCTTTGGCAGGAGAAGTGGTCGAGCTCTTAAAGTTCAATAATTGTTTCCATTCTGAGCTCTACTTTCCGTGCGAACCCCAGTTTAGTGGAGATGCTATTCGGGAGAAGATATTTGGGTATCTCCAACAGTCCCGGTTATTGTACGCAATGAATTAAAGCTCCTGGTCTCAGTGTGGGCTCTGGGAGTCCCCGGGTTCTTCGCTACTGTAACCATCACAAACTGTCCAACATGTAAAAAGGACCCGATTCCGGTAGTCATAATTTATTTCTAGGAGAGCTTGTGTGGTTTGGGCGTGCAGTCTTCACTACAGTGTGAGCGGTGGAGCGCGAATAAAAACCCAACTCATTAAATAATCGCGTTTTCGAAGTCGAATTCCCACGTTGAGGTTTTTTCTGCATTCGAATTCTCAGTTTAAAGGATGTAACAAGGTAGTATCGCTGCCAATCAATGTTTATTGTTGCATCTGATTTATTTGCTTTATGTTTGGTAGTTGGTAGTGCCGTCTTACATCGGTTAGAAGACGAATCATAGAGTGAGCGTAGATTATACTAAATTGAAAAAAAGCGAAAAGGCACGAAATCTGGGGACTATTGGGGAGCACCTGGACTTCGACAGGAGTTAGAAAAGCTGGCTGTCTTTCTCTTGAGGTCAATGAGAGCCTCACAGGGGAACCTGTTGGCATGCTCAGATGCAGCAGGTAGCGTGCTGGGGCTGTTCATCTTTGCTGAACTCATTACGAACGAATTTTGTGCACTTACGATATGGTGTATGTACGCTCCTCTGAAATTGAGTGGAGTATGACGGATTTTACATTTTGAATATGGGAAATATCTTTCCTGAGTCAAATCGTGTGTTCAAAGTGTCTAAAACTTGGCGTGCTCAAGTGAACTAGAGGATTCAAGTCAGCGCTACGGTCTCCGAGTTATGAGGTGGGTGACAATTCTGTAATGCAAGAAGATTTAACGTGAGTGGAAAAAAAAATATTGTTGTCAGTGTTACAGAGAAGCATGGGTATACTGTGTCAGAGCGTCACTCGATGACTTGAGCTGCCGAATTGTCGCTGAATGTGGTGAGAAGTTGGTCGAATCCGAATGGTTTCATGAGTGAGCACGGAGAGAAAGTGGCTCGGGAGCTGATACCGAGGTTCGTTTTTCAAGGAACTCTTTGGATGCTGTTCGCGAGCGTAGCATGAGTTTGTAGGGCCGACATAGAGAGCCGTGCCCTAACTGCACTGAACTTGCTACGCTTTCTAGTCAATACAGTACTGCGATCTGCGACAAAACACAATGCATTGGGCTGTGCCTGAAATCAGACTGTGTCGACGTGTACAGAATTATTTTGCTCTGCACTATTTAAGTTTGTAACTTCCAGTTTTTACGTGCTGGATGGCAACGTTTTGTATATATGTATCACTGTCCCCACGTGAGGCGACTGGCCTGAATAAAGATTATCCAGCCATCAGCTTTCATCGCTATATCGGGCGATCGTCAAGACTCGCTGTGTCAGCGTGGAAGAACTCAAAACCGCATGGACTTCCGCAACGCGAACAGTCCGACGGAAGCAGTGAAGTGGGAGCTGTTAACGGATTAAGGATACACAGAACGATTAGCTGTAAGGCAATAGAAAAACTAGTGGTTTGTTCGGGAAAAGTGGTGTAAAAGCTCTCTCATGATTCAAAAAACAGCAGCTATGTTGGATGGTAGGAACTACGAGGAGACAAGAGTTTTTATTTAAATTGAATATATTGAAAGGATCGCCGGACGTCGTATCGTGAACAGGTGGCCACAGACTGTTCAGTGAGGCGAGGGTTAAGATTTATCTCTTTTCGATCACATTTTTAGAACTTTTCCATTGTCTAACACCTTCAGCTCAGAAAAAGGATGCAATTATTTGGAAGTTTTCTTTCCCTCTCATTTGAGATTTCTGAGGATCGCAAGTATCATCTGATTGGGCCTTCAGGCAAATGTATTAGAAGTTTAACAAAAAATGAAAAGGCAGAGGTGGGGTGGGGTGGTACCGTACCGATCTATGTCACACTGTAGGCGTGCTTCTAATTTATCAACGCTTTCTACATCCTGTGACCAGGATTCTTCTATCTGCTTGACGGACTGTCCTGCAGTGAATCAGCCTACAGCCGTGATTTCACTTGCCATTCAACCGCCTAACAATTTTAGGAAATTTGCATGGCGTATCCTGAGCAGGTCTCTATTGCGATAGATTTGTTTATGTAGCATATCTCACAAGCCATGATAACCCGTGTAGTGATAAGCAGGCCTTTGATGATAGGGCAAACTTTGTCCATAGTAAGCTTCAGACCCCGAAACTTCCATATTGAGTGTAACGTTTGCGATTCCAGCCTAGTCCGCTTGCAGTTGCAACTTCCGAAAAGGCACAGAATTGCAATGAAGCTCAGACGCCCATTTAACAAGATGCGACACGCGCGTTTTGAGGTTGCGGTTTGCACCGCGGGGGACCACGGCGATTTTGTAGGAGCCGCCTCACATCAAATCCGTGAATTTTGAGCTTAACATACCCAAAACTCGGATGCAACAAAATGTTAGAATGATATTCGATGTGTCAAACTTATCAGAAGGGACAACTGTAAAAAATCGATCGAATTGACGTTTTCTGGCGATGAAAGGCAAGTTTCAGTTGCTTTTGCTGCAGTGAACCTCAAAATTATTTTTGACGCGGTTGCTCTACTAAAAACATATGTCTTGCTATATGTGTGGGTCTGTACTTACTTCTACTGCTCTTTTTTATGACCAAGATTATCAGAATATAAAGGAAACTAGGAATAAACAAATTGGGAAATTCGTAGGGCTTAGAAAACCTTCGCTAAAAAGGAGCATATTCAACCATTCAATGAACCTCGCCGTGTGTCTAGTTATATTATGGTGTAGTCTATGGAATAGATGCAAAAAATTAGAAAAGAAGTAGCGCATGCGCGAAAAAATAAATATTTTGTGTGTGCAGCGCATGCGCTGCACACGGTCCCACACGGTGCTCAAGGTGTGATGCGCATGCGCTGCACAATGTCGTCAACGTGTTAATTATGAATTGAGATGAGCAAATTATTTTGAATTTTCTCCAAACACGTGCTCTGCTCGATTGATTTCAGTGACGAGGGCACACCGCTGATTCGCGAACGCTGACCGCGTTTAGCCGAAAGGTGCGCGTTTCCCTTTCAGGGAACTTACTGTTTCTAATCCATGCTGTACTCTATAAAGACTTAATAGGGAGTGCGCTGGACCAGTGAAGTAGTTGTTCTAAGAGTGTGTGTTTTCCGAGGTCCAAATAGCAGTGAGCCTGACCATTCGGGTCCGGCACGAAGCCGTGTACCTACGTAGTCGTCTGAGCGTGTGACACATCTGCCAGGTGTATTGGCAGTAAATGTGGCAAATGCTTAGCAAACATCATCATAAACGCCGTCGTCGATCGGGTCGACCTCAATTATGCGAATTGTGCCATCTCGATGTAGTCGTAAAGGAGCAGAACGTCCACGCAGACGCCTTGCGATGGCAACCGTTGCGTAACCCACACAGTATTAATTTGCATTCGTAAGGAGCCATAGAAGATCTCTTTTCAACTGCCGAAACTTCGCTAGTGTCACCGGCTGTGAGAGGAATTTTAGGCAGTCGTAACGCTTTGATAGGGCTTTTTGTTCGGTTTATAAATTAAGTTACAAATTGGATCTTCAAGTGACGATACAAAGCCCCAATTCAACCCTGCCGCGCTGGAATGTCCTTCGCTATTGGCGTTATGAGGCATCTTAGGCGAACCGAAGTCCCCTGACTAGCCGGTGGAACTTTTAGGTGGCAGAACTTAGATGCTGGAAAGAAAATGAGGTTTTGGCTTTGAAACGAAGTGGCAGTTAATAAGAAGTTTTACGGCAGTTGTACGGTGCATCCGCAAATCCATCCAAGTCTTCAAATAAGGGCGAGATCGGATTCCTTCGCTCAAATTATGGAAATGCACTCGAGACGACTGGGGATTGGAACTTAGCCTTCGTGCCCGAGTTGAATTATCGCAGCGTTCCGCAGGCACAGCTTCTCATTTTCTGCGTACCGTTTCTTCCCGTTCACACTCTCGAACGGGGATTCCTTGAAAGCTCCGCAAAAATTAGCGACTCGATGAGCCAAGTAAGTCAACGGTTCTCCCCGTGTACTTGGTACGTGATTTCCACTACCACTTGAACTGGTTAGCAGCAACGACCATTCAATGCTGACTTTTGACAGGCAGTGGGTTTTAGTGTGAGTGAGCTTTTCAAAAAAAAAACGATCGTATAGCCAGGACGAAGCGTGGTGGGCGCGGTCATGGTGGCAATTACGCCCATGATTGGCATCAGTCTTTCATACTTGGGCCCGATTGCATTGCCATGCAGGCGGCTTGAAGCATCTTCATGTGATACCAAACCTAAAGGAAAAAATTAAAAACGTGTCACTTCTTGCCGGGATTTGATCCAAAGCCCGCTGCTCTCACTGTACCCAAACCGCACACCATTGACGCCCTTAATAAAAGTAGGCCGGGTTGAACACTGCCAGCGTCTTCTTACCATAGGATCCTTGAGAAAATAAACTCTTCGAAATGCTTCTGCCTTCTGACATTTTTCACAAATCCTTCTTTTGGAATTTCTTGCTACTGTAATTCTTTTCACTCTTACGATTAGACATTTGTTTCAGTCAAACGATGAGAGCGGTTCAAGCGGCTCACCAGAAGTAAAGAAGGAGGAGCCCGACAGCTTTGGCGGAGTCAAATGCTTCTCTTGTCATGTAAGATTTTCCACATTCCTATTTTTCAGTCTATTGTTCGCGAAAGAGTTCATCATCAAATCTCCCAACATAGAATATCTGTTGGTATTGAAGCTAATGTGCCTTTCCTATTCAGAGAACGACGGACTACGGTATCGTGTCGAGTTCATTTGAACAGCCACGCTGTCAGGAATGCTTTGACGCGCTGAGAAACCAGGCCGGAGCGTTGCCCGCTACGGTAAGTCCACGACCTTCCGTTGAAGAACTACCGTCGGCGGGTGTTCATCAAACGTGTCACAATGTGTATATGTGCTGAGCAGGTGTTAAATAATGAATCGTAATCCGATTACGGTATCGCCGCCGTCGGTTTTTTAGTGACCGACGGCCGAGTGCGGCGATAAGAGGTTGGCTGACGACTAATGAGGTTGCATCACCTCATCGAGGAGAGGTTCCCTTCTTAAGATACCGCTCCTTTAGGTGGGTCGTCGGTGATTTGTCAACTGATCGATAGCGGCCCACGATGAGATCATCTTCGATATAACACCTTTCTTAGAAAAAGGCGGTAGGGAGTAGGGGGGGGAGGTGGAGGCTGGAACGAGCCACACGTCTACGAAATTTCCTCTGGTTTTTTTTTTCAAAGAGTGAGTGAGTGATCCCCTCCAGTATCTTCCGCAGGTGTCTTCATTGAGCAGACCGCTGAAAATCGGGCTCTAAAAAACGGGTTAGGGTTCAAGATGAGAAGGCAAAGATGTGCTGGTAATGAAACTAAGCATAAGCATATTATATTGACAATGAACGTGCGCGGTGTTTAGCTGCTTCATAAAGCTTCTGTCTCGGTCTCTCTATATGGGCTATGGGCAGGGTCAACCGTCCGTTGCTCTGATTTTGAAATTTGTGCGACCCCCTTCCTTTAAGGACCGTCCTTCCGCACCTCCCCGTCCCCTACCCCCACTTTCATGCTAGCTTGTTCCTACTATTGTTTTGATTCTGGGACAGTCGAACACAACCATAATTTGTCCCTTCTGAAACGCATCTTACGGCGGGCGGGCCGGGGTAAATATCAAACGCAAACCAAATTCATTTCGCACTACTTCAGGGCCTCACATTTTGGAATCTCCCCTAACTCAGGAACTCTCTTTTTCCCAATCTTTTGACCTCCATCCATCTCCTAATCATGACTATAGTGGAAAACCTCAAATACGACTCCCTGAGAACTGCCGCAAACGCACAGCTTACCCTGCTCATAGGGTCATATGCAGGAGTTGAAGGAAGAAAACATTAGTTGCATCATCAGATAGCTTCTACAGAATCCATTTCAGTTGACGTCTGTGATGGACCTGCGCACGTCCGTGATGAGTCCATCGACGTCGCAATCACCCCCGGAGAAGAAGCTACGCGTCGGCTGATTTCCCACGCACAAATCAATAACAATCGATATCTGTAGTTCGTATTTTAAGTGTATTCTAGGTGTTCCTTTTCCTTTTTCCTCTGTTCTCTCTTCATCTCTGTTCTCTTCTCCTCCCATCTTCCTATTTCCTCCTGTTCTCTCTCTCAAAGATATCTCGTCTAGTTTCTCATCATCTGATTGTTTTCTTTTACATACGGATTTTTCTATTCCTCTTCTCTTTTTTCCTCTTAGTGGTCAAAAGCTGCTTTTCTAAGGATGACCCACATCTCGACCGATTGGAATGAGAAGTCATATCTTCAGAGTAAATAACGACTATAATGAGTTTAGGATGATTTGTGGACCTTTTTGTTTTGATGTTTGTTTTCGTATTATAATTTCTTTTGTGTACAGATATACTATGCATGTGTGTGTTGCTGAATAAATGAATAAGTTCGAAAAACGGTATTTTTCGGTCTTGCGGATCCGACTGCGGTCAGGTCCTCCATGTTCACTAAGGTAGGGTCCACACGGAGCAGTTTGGATGCGCAATTACACCCCGATCGGATCGCGGGTACAGGCGCGTGCGTAACTATGTCATACTTTGCGAATCGGCGTTCGCGGTCGCGTCGCGGCCACCAAATCGCTCGATTGGCTGGTACCGCAACGCGACCGCGGGCGCTAGCGACTCGATCGATTCGCAAAGTCTGAAATGGGCCTAAAAGTGACCACAACAGCACATGTAGACGATAAAAAACGCGAATTATTAATCTCCAGGTTATAACGCCTACAAAGTACTGAAATCGATTTAAAACTAGCTCTGTTAGCTGTTGACCTACTTTTTTACCGCCGCCTTGACACGCAAGATGTTTGGCCATGGGCAGAATGCGTACTTTATCGGGACTTGAAGCTTGTTTTGCGCTTTCTAAGAAACTGCGCTAACTCCTAAGCTAACGATACCAGTTAATGCATACCAAGCATTAGATTATTAACCACTGTGGAACCAGTGCTTACAGCACATCCAAAATCACAACCCATGGAACTTCCATGAGGCAAGAAAACTTGCGTTTTTTGAACACCATTCCTAGTTTCCATACAAAAAAACCATACATGATACGCGAAAAGTGTAGCGAGATGCGAAAGAACGTAAGAAACAAGAGAGAGACAATATTACACGCGGACAGTAGCAGTGGTGTAGCGCCATGGTCTCGCGATGCTCCACGCGCAGAAGACGGGTTCGGATCCTGTCCTCATCTAGCATGCTTTCAATTTTGTGGAATGAACCATTTCGAGGGAGCCAGAATCAGAAAGAGAAAGCCGTTACGACTTCGTTTCCGTAAGAAAGCCAGTAATCTGAAACAGTCACGACACTCAAAATGAGATTAGCAGTGATACCCAATAGGCAGCCGTATCGATTGCTGATCCCAAACACTCACACAAGGTTCGAGTCCCGTTTGATCGGAGTCTTCTGCAGTTTTGTAGCTTGACGATCTTCTGGAGAAATGTATCTGTTCTCTCATCAAAAAAGCATTGTACCGTTATTGAAAAATGCGCTCTCAAGCCTGTCAACAATACAGAAAAAAGGAAAGTTTCTGCTGGGGCCACCATAACAATAGCGCTAGGCGACCGAGCGTTAGGGTTATAATAGAGCAGTGGGTATGGAGGAAGACCCTCGTTGGCCAAGGGGTGGTATCGTTTCCGACCAGCGCACAATTTTGCTTGACAACAATCATCTAATTGTCTGGGTTCTCCTATAAAAAGATTTACCGCTCATTACCAGCTCTGGATACGTTTCAGCTCTGAATCGGGTCAGGTGAAAAGGTTGTGTGCTCAAAGTTTGCATGTGAGGGTTTATCGCGCCACACCTCATACGCGATCACCAACGTCCTTTCGGGCGGGGGCCGGATGGCTTGAAGCAGGAAGCAAGGTGTGGCACAAGCAGCAGAGAATCGGCTGTGGTGCCGCGCGATGGATACCAGATGGTACACAAAGCAGAAACCTGTGTATTTCCGCCGTCACACCGACGTCCCTGTGGCCACTGGTAGTCATTTTTCGCGCTACATGGCCACTCCGCGCTAGTCTTTATCATTTTTGGATGCCAATTCCATATCGATTCGAATTGATATGGTGACGTTTGCAAACGTGGAACAAGGAAATAACTTGTATGTGTTCCTCCCATGAAATTGTTAGAGGCTGAATCGGCAAATTCAACAATCGTGACAAAGACCGTGGAGGCTGAGATCCGAGCCCAAGACCCATCTTCCCGGTCAGCCCCACTTCGCATTCGACTACTTGCATCGACACAGTACCGAGGTTTTGAGCGGCTGAATGAACCCATGTGCCTGATGGTTCTCATGAGCCAGTGATTGCTTTGCCATCTCGGCTTCATGCGATATTCCTGTCTGCTTTTGAAGCCATATTTTATCACCATGATCCGTCGCAAATAAACACTCAAAAAAACTCTCGGTTCATAAGAGATACTGTGTCGATGAGACGAGTGGTGCGCTGTAGGCCGATCACGGATCCCGCTGGAACGACTCTCAGAAATTAGGCTTTTTTACTAAGAGGTGAAATTTAAGCTGGTGGAATCAAGGGTGAGCGGAGCTCACACCTGGTCCGGCAAGAGTTTAAGCCCAGGATCTCATTGCCGTCTCATGAGGGGGCACCCATATTCGATCCAAATCCGAGATAATCCATTCGATTTATGATCCATTTGGGTGCACATCACATTTTCAAGCGGCCATTCCTCCTTCCTAGATCTTTCTAACCAGGGGAAGCAGAAGCAGGAGCAGTATGGTTTTCCCAGGTGTCTTAGTGAGGGTGATAGTGAGGGTGATATGCGGTCATCGACAACCCGGAAAAGAAACCAGGGGCAGGGTCCCACTCATCAGTTATTGACGTTGGTCAACGATCAGGGTGCATCGTGGGTGCCGAACTGATGGTGCACCACGACTCATCAGTCAAGAGTTGGATGGGATGTCCTTGGTAGAGTTGAAGGGCCAAGGAGCATGTGCAGGGTGGCGTGAGATGTTTGTGGAGCCCAATTATCCGAGTATCACAGTGACCAACAGTTCGATCAGAAAACCTTCAATGCTAAGGCCTGGTTGATCGATTTTCCACCTCCACTCACACATAAATGGGCTGTTTCGCTGAAAAAAAACGGTGGTGGTCTTGTAGTCATTGAATCAGTACCGATTGAGGAGAGGTTTGCGTATCCCAGTCGACCAACACGGCGCTAGAAGAGACTGGCATTTGTGGTCAGAGTACGCTCGCTATAGCCAAAGTCGATCCACGGCCGCTCGAAGGCGAACGGCCCTTCATTGGTCTCGGCCATTCCCTTCTATCACACCTTTGATAGGGTTTCGGTGTTGTGGTGGACTTGGTGCGTCACGGGCCTTCAGCTAGTCAAGCACTTCTCGTCACGGAATATCTTTGATGATCAAAGTGTCGGCAGGTAGCGGTCCTATCAGGGGCAACATGTACAATGGCTACCCCGTTTATGCTCCATGGCGTTTCGACCCTACTTAAGACCTCTGGTTTTACATGGGTGCCCATTTAAGGCTGAAACGTACTTCGAACTGTGAAGGTTAGACAAATCATCAAACAAGAGAACCCAGACTGATATGTAATATGTGATTGTTGATAAGCAAAAATGAACCGGGGAACGAAGGCGATCCCGTCACTGCCCATGTGCGAGGCGCCCCTCTTTCCACTGCACCACCGGACGGCAAGTCAGCCAGTGCTAGCGTTGCTGTAAAGGTGCCGCCTACCAACATTACAATGTTCTTCTTGGAAACCATATGGTGGATATTGCCGTAGGATACAGAGCCAAGGAGACCTGTGGTGCTTCGGAGACGGACCACGGGTCCTGTGTTAAAGCCACTCTCAAAACTTCGGGCTTTCGACCAAAAATAGTCACCTGGCTCAGCAGGGTTGTATGTTTCTATTGTTTTCAGTCGTGCGAGTGAGCACCCACATCCGATCCTAATTCGAGATCCATTTGGGTGCGAAACCCTGCCTCGCGGGACCCATCGGTCCCAATGGGAACCAATTTTGGTTCCCATTGGGACCGGTGTCCCGCGAGTCAGGGTGTCGCACCCAAATGGCCCGCAAGATGTTACGTATTTCATGCTGGCCAAAAATGTTGTAAGTAACATACCTAAATATAGAGCGTCAAGAAACTTGACAAATGGTACACATCACAATTTTAAACGGCTATTCTGCCGTACCATCCACTTTTGGCCAGGTAGCG